TGCCTCCATTCGATGTCCGTGTAAATTATGAAAACTGTGAAATATGCCATACTTTCTCTCCAATGCTGAACCCGAAGTTAATGCTTTACTTCAAGTGGGACAACGGATTAGAATAGATCACACGAAATTTCCTAAATATTGTCCTTAGTTGCTTCATTCAATACAGCTAGGATTTTGGAAGGAAACACAGAAGGAAAGATACCACTAGGAAGACCAAGACGTAGATGTGTGGATAATATTGAAGTGGATCTTAGAGAGATAGAATGGGATGTTGTGGACTGGAATGATCTGGCTCAGGATAGGGTCCAGTGGATGCTCTAATGAACTAGGCAAAGAACCTTCGGTTCCCATAAATTGCTGGGAATTCCTTGAATAACTGCTCAAGTGGCATGTTCTCAGTAAGGGCTTAGCTCTATGAAGTTATTATATGGACAATTAAAGAGGGATAGTTCACGTATAAGAGTAACCGAAATTTAATAATATCCTTGTGAAAATATTGTTACCCTTATGAAAATATGTAGATAAATATGTAACTTAAACTGGTATATATTAGAATAATAAATATGAAACGTAAGACAATAGACAGGGACCGAAGTTCTGCTGACACCCGTTAATATTAATGACATCTTTTCATCCACCAAAAAATTATAATGACGTGTACACCATTTCTTGCTCTTTTTCCAGTACCAGATATGAAATCTTGCCTCTTTCTTTGTTTCTGAACGAGATAAGAAGGCATTAGTACTCGTGTCCTTGTCAACATACTTCACTCTGTGGCTTCAGATAGCACCGATCGCAACTTCAAGATAACTTGCAAAGATAATGCTGACCACTGTCCTATCTTCATTTGTCAGAGGTGAATTTATTGTACATTGATACACCAAATGCTCTGCGTGCCTCAGTATCTTACCTTTAATAAGGGGGGCCCCTTTTCCGTCCTAGTTCTCTATTATTCGTAACAAATGTACATTTATTGGGAGATTTAAGAAGCCGTAGTTTATGTTCCTAATGATGCTTTTCTGGAGGTGCGAACAGAGAAAAAAAAAGTACAATTTTATATCTCGTCACCAGAATGTAGGGTAAAGATGTGGCAGAATTAATATAATTGGCGACAACAGTAACAAGACGAGATTGTATTAGTGCAGAAATGACGAGCGGATAAACATCGGATAACGCCATCTATCATTTAGCCCAGAACCTCGTTTCTTCCTGTATGTTGTTTAGAAGCTTAAACATTGAAATGTAAGAAATTAAAATGTTGCCTGTAATGTTGTAAACCTGTGAAAATGATCTCTCATGTGGAGGGAAGATCACAGACTAAGTACGTTGGAGAACAGGCTGCTGATGAGAATATTTGTTTCCGAGAGAAGAAATATTACAAGGCAAGAGAAAACTGCATAACGATGACCTCTCTGACATACTTGTTGCCATATATAATTAGAATGATCAATTCAAGTAGCACGGGATGGGATGTCATAATATGTAGCACGCGTGGGTACTAGAGGAAATATTACAGGGTATTGGTGGGAAAGCCAGAAAGGATGAGATCGCTATTAATACTTAAACGTACGTGGGACGATAATATTATAATTGATCTTACAGAAATATTAGGGAGTGTAGTGGACCGGATTAATCTGGCTCAGGATAGAGAGAATTGGCTGACTCTCGTGAAGACGGTAATAAACTTTTTGGTTCCATGAGGGGCTGGGAATTTCTAGAGAAACTGGGCAGCTTCTGACGTCTCGAGTTGAACTCAGCTCCATTGTCAAGTTACTTCATTAGAATACTCGTGTATGTTCTGTTGTCTCCATTTTATATCACTTTCCTTGCATGGCATTTACAGCTCAAACTTCAGTCATTTGAATTACACTACTTTATAATTCCGTTATTTTGTTTAATGCTGTACTATATTTATCTTACCTTATCTTGCGTGGAAAAACAAGTTTATTATAATGTCACATTCGAATGATTCTATCTCACCTACAAGATGTTGTATTCCAGTGTTTATTCATTTACTTACATGTGTCATCTATGGCTACCAACCAGAGTGAGAGTGTAATGTATATATGTACGAGTATATAACGACAGTGGGAAGAATAGAAAGGAGTCGGAAAGTGGTGTCACGTCAGTGAACACCGTCCTACGGACGCCTCCCTGTCCCCATGGTCCTCCACAAGGTCCAAACGCCCCAAGGCGCAAGGCGAACTCCAAGCCGACGAGGCAGTGAATGAGGAGAATCCCCTAGCTTCCTGGCCCCCCGTCACCGAAGGCAGTACAATAAAATACGGAATCTTCCCACTGTCCCTTATAATCTAAACAACTTTTTAAAGAAAATATTTTTATTGTTGTTTTAGAGCTAATAACTCAGTGACGGTTTAAATTGTTCTGGTTCAAATTTCACGATTTGCGGTACAAAATATATATACTATCTATATTGTGTAAAAACATATATCGCAAAAGGAACCCATGTGTAAAGCTAATAACAAAACATTCCAAGGGATATCTTTCTGAGGTTGTTCCATCCTACTCACAAATTATTATGATAATAAACCTCTTAACCTTTAAAGTAGAGTATAAAGTATCTTCACCATCTTCTTAATATCACGAAAATCTTAAATCTGTCCGCAGTGAGTACTTACGTGCTTCATATCAAAATAGAGAGTATCTGCTTAAACGGAATTGAGATATTTCTGTTTGGGGTAGAAATGTTGTAGGTGTGTAGTGGGAATAGAACGTAAATTTGAAAATATTCAGAAGAACCTCAAAATCAGGAGGGTTAATGTACTTAATCTACATCATTCTCGAGTCTTAATAAAACTTTCTCCAAAATGTTTCCATCCCAAAACTGCATAAGTTATTCTTTGAGACCCCATTCTAACCATACGTCAAGCCTGTCAAATCCCCTTAAATACTGCGTGGGGCGTAGAAGTTGACAAATTTCTCGTTCTAAAATATCCTAAAATATTGCATCTCTTCAAGGTCCAAATACGTTCGCGAGACTTTGTTTAGAGGAATTTCAATTGTATGATATTCCCTCAAAATCAGACTATAATTTGCATACAGAAAATGTTTTCAAGATTACACTTAACCGCAACTAAGAAACGCCATGGATATGACAGGACACTAATAGTCTCTAAGTGAAGTAATCATTTTGCCATTCAAGGAATTCGAAGGTTAACTGCCATGCTCGGAAGAGCACGCCATCTTTTCCTATGAGCGGACACGTGTATAAAATCCACACACTCAAGCCTCTTTTTTAAAATCCATCTTAATATTGTCACGATGTTGGGGTGGTTTTGCGCGTGACTCATAAGATGGGTTCTGGATTTGATGATTGAATTTATTGCAACTTATACATTCAAAACCGGGGACTATAGGTAAATACAGCACTATTGCTATTCTATTCACTTTCAGTTCACTGCTCCACACTCACTAGGATTATCACTCTTCACTAGTCGTCTCCTGGCAACGAATTTATAACCGTCTCACTGTAACGGCAAATCACACAGGAAATCTTTTCACAGCTTAGTTCCTTTACGGCCATTGTTCTGTAACTACCAACACAATTCAGTTAAACTCTAGCCAGGCAGGATGGCGACTCAAACTCAGCTCTGTTTCTGCTCTCCTGCTGCTCAATTGAACTTTCCTTTATAAGAACTTTGTACGGACCCCACGAAAAACACCGTCTTCTATTTTCCCGTATTGCTTTAGGCGTGTTTACCGCATTATTGCACAGCAACAGTCGCGGCGCTGAAGGAATAGAAAACAGCATCTCTATTGTTGAGGTGTGTTTACCGAGGGCAGGTGTTTACAGAGTCGTTGCCGAAGAATCGTTGTCGTTGTTTACATTCCCTACAAAACGGACAATGCTTTGTAAGATGAGGCACCGACTAAATAATTAACATTAATGTTACTACATCTACATCACGAGACACCAATAACAGTTTTTATATACACACAAAATATAGAATACTCCAATTTGTCCGTGGGAACTTAACAAAATTACAAATAACCAACCACGGACTCGATGATGTAAAGCACCAATCGAAGAATTTTATTCTTGTTTTATACTATAACTTTTGTTTTTTATAATCTAATTTATTTATTTTTAGGTCAAGAATTTTATATAATTAATTTTATTGTATCCAGTTTTACTGGTACTGCAGTTCAGGGGTGTATATGTTAGCCATGTATTTGCCTGATGGTGAATATTAATAGCAGAAACATGTAGCAGAGCCAAAATTAGGCACTGACCTCGATATAGTTGTGTTGTGACGGTTTTAATAAAGAAGATGTATATTATTAAACAACAGGATGCACGAAATTAAAATTAAATTCCACTTAACAATCAAGTTCCTTCCGTCAAATGTGACACTTTTTTAAGTTTTCCACCTCGTCACCACCTGCCTTACATGTTTCGGCTCACCACGGAGCCATCATCAGAGGCATTTATAGTAGAAAAAGAAATCACCAACTCAGAAAACTTCACGGACCAGAATGAAAGACCTTAAACTTAAATTCCACTTATTTAAGATAATATTTCAATCCTGATAAAAGATAATACTACCAACCCGATGACCCATCATCTTCAGGAAATGACATATAATATATAAAAATAATATAAATCAGGATCATAATAACTTAACAAACACATACATTTAAAGAATTTGTAGGATAAATATTAGGAGAGTCATTGCACTTCCAAGTGTGACGAGCCTATCTTGCCTATGCAGTCATAATATTTATCTGTCTCAACCAGTAACTACTGATTGTATTTGCCATCTAATCATGACAGAGGAAATTAGAATTTTCTTTACACGTATTTCACATTAATAACAAGAACCCTGTCACTGCTGCCTTATTTAGTTTCGGATGATTTTACAAGTGTCACTCTCAAATGATTCAATCTAACACTAATAATTCAACTTATTTATCAATTTGTCTAATTGTTTAGATTAATTTGTGTGATTATAATCCTGTAGGTCTGACTTGAAGTTAACATGGGGCTCCTACCTGAAACCACTCTTCTGACAGTGGGTGCTGCGGTAGCCTGTCTCCTCACAATGGTGTATATCTACTTCAAGAAGTCCTTCAGTTATTGGAAGGAAAGAAAAGTGCCTTATATCGAACCAACATTTCCCTTTGGAAATTTCAGAAACCTGATATTTGTGAGAAAATCTATAGGACATATGTTCGTAGATCTTTACAAGAAGCTAGATGGTGAGAAATATGGAGGGACATACATGTTCACGAAACCTGGATTCATTTTCCGTGACCCAGAGATTATTAAGAATGTCCTGGTTAAAGACTTCAGTAGTTTCCATGATCGCGGTTTCTTCATAGATGAACAGCTTGAACCACTTACTGGTCACTTGTTCCTTCTTCCTGGAAACAAATGGAGGAATCTTCGCGTTAAATTGTCACCAACTTTCACTTCCGGCAAAATGAAGATGATGTTTCAAACTTTGGTCGATTGTGGGCAAGAACTCGGAACCATCCTTCAAGAAACCGCTAGTAGAGAAGAGATTATTGAAATTAAAGATATCTTGGCTAGGTACAGCACAGACATAATATCGTCATGTGCATTTGGAATCCAATGTCATTGTCTTGAGAATCCAGACGCTGAATTTCGTCGATGGGGAAGGAAATTATTCGAATCATCAATAATATTGTCATTAACTGGATCACTGAGCGCACTATTTCCCTCTATGGTGAGCCTCTTGAAGCTCAGAAGTATAGATGCCAAAGTTTCAGAATATTTCCACAGTATGGTCCAAGACACAGTGAACTACAGGGAGAAGAACAACATTAAACGCAACGACTTTATGCAACTGCTTATCCAGATCAAGAATCGTGGCAAAGTGGAGGAAGAACACGGTTACCTGGAGCAGAATGGCCATGGAGACTTGGAGAACAAGTCTGATGAGAATGGTACGTACCTCCTGTATACGTTCCGTGTAAATAAATACATTCATTCTTGTCCTGTATGGATGAGCTCGAACTGACCATTGGCTTTCTCAACGAAAGCACTCCACACATCTCTGGGTAACATATTCTGCATATAGTTACAAAGTTCCCTTCTTACATAACCTTCGAAAAAAAATCACATTTATGTATATATATATTCCCACTTCCTCTCAGTCCGTATGTTATTTAATGGATAATTCCTTAACACCTCCCAGCCTAAGTTCATATGCATCAATCAAGCAATGAAATCTACAGAAAATATTAACAAGGAAAGAAATTAGAACTTGATATTTCTCCCAGTGAATGATGTGTTAATTTAAGCAGTTATCAGAATAGAAAACGATATATATTTCCTGCAAGTCATAACCCTGTTACCTGCATTAGAGATATGAGGAAATTTTTTCTGACGCAATATTCGAACACTCGTATATATTTTAGTAATTTTCCTCTTACTAGCTCGCTTAATCTGAAATATGCCTTATGATATTGCTTGCCTTATAATATGTGAAACTAGGATCACGCATTTAGCCCTTCTTAATACAGGTTTGTCGATGAACTCACTGGCGGCCCAGGCCTTCGTTTTCTTTGTTGCGGGTTTCGAGACTTCGTCAACCACCATGACGTTCTGTCTGTACGAGCTGTCATTGCACCAGGATATACAGGAACATCTCCGGGAAGAGATCGACATAGTGCTGAAGAAACATGACGGCAAGATTACGTATGAGGCCATCCAGGAGATGGAGTATCTGGATAAAGTTGTCTCAGGTAAGGCTTGCACAAAGTTTAATTATTTAAATTTTCTTCAACGTAGCCTTGATCATCATAAGTACACTCCCTTCCATACCTATCCGTTGCAACCGAATGTCAGTAGGAGCATTAAACCATCAATCTATATCCTCATAGATCTATTCAGTTTCGCCTTCATTGTGTTTTCTACGTACAGCGTTGCGCTGCAGAATCTGTTTCTTTCTCATGTATGGGCATAGTGCAAACAGTTTATTTCAAATTTTGTAGAATTAATTAATACGTTAAAAGTTTTATATTTCACCTTCATAATTTATACTCATCATCAAAGATTATTGGAGTCATCAAATGAAAGAGGATAATATTGTGACATGTTGACCC